GCCCAGCAAGAGCCTTTGTAGGAGCCCACTCCTCTGGTCAGAGCAGGTTCCAGAGGAGCTACTCCTGCTGCTGGCTGTTCAAAGAAGTGCCCCTTTTTTACTTTAACAAAATATGAAAAAGGTAAAGATTGTATCAAGTTCCCAGCCTGCTATTCTTACTGTGGCATTCCAACCTCTTCTCAGATTCAGGAGTGGTTTGCTTGCCAGCATTCCTCACACTATTTAAGACTATTGGCTTGTCTTTCCTCCAGAAAGTTGATTCACTGAATCTATAGGGCATTTCTTCAGGATAGAATGACTTTGAAGACTGAGACTGAGATCCTTATTTGCAAGTGTGGCTGTTCATTCCTCTTTGCATTCCTCTTATTGTGCATTTAGAAACACAAACCACTTCTATCCTTTGATAATGGAGATCTCTCAGCTGTTTATGAAGAATAAGCTCCCCAGGTAAGACCAGCTTAGATTTTGCTTCAGCTAGACAGACTGGTCAGGCTGCAAGGGACACACCTGTTTATTTATGAATACGTTAGTTACAAGAGACTCAATGGAAAGAAAACTGAGTGGCCTTGGACAAGGAAGGCAAGTAATCAGGACAGGATAAAGAGAATATGTAAGAAGAGCAGAAAGAAAAAAACACAAACAAAAAAAACCCCAACCAACCAACCAAAACAAAAAAAAAAAACAACCATGAAAATTCAACAAGATATTCAACAGTCAGTTGACAGGGGGAGACTTGTATTGTGCTCCAGAAGTCTACAAATATCCCTGCAGTTCGGTGATTTCTCTTTTCAGTTTGTCCTAAGGAACAAAATGGAATAGGACAGTACAAAAGAGGAAAAATACTTCCTGGGTCATCACCACTGCTGTCAGTGGTGAAAGGGAATGGAGGTGAGCAGAGCAGGGAGGAGAAAGAGCTCTGAGTGCAGACTGTACCATTGCTAAAAGTGCAGTAGTTCATAAAAAGAACCCTGGACAGCTGATGGTGAAGGGTAGTACTTTTAAGTCATTCCTAAAGATTATCAGAGTAGTATTAATTATGGATGGGAAATTCAAACATCAGAAACCCCAAAATGCAACTCAGATCAGAATACGGCTACTATATGGAAAGGATAAACATTAAAAGCAGAGAGAAAAAAAAAATCAAGTGAAAGAATAAACAGACTGTGTAAATATCACCATTTATTTCCACTAGCATACTAAGCAGTTTTCTAACTTAAACCCCGTGTTTCTTCATGAGTTCAGGGTTTTGTTTTTTATCAGTTATCATGATTTTTAAATACCAGGAGGATAAAAATTCGGAAGAAATGAGAAGTTTGAACCCCACAAGCCCTTGCAGCAATTTAAAGATAGTACTATGCTAAGAAATGCATGAAAAAATAAATCATCATGACTTGCAAGGGGAAAATATTTCTATATTTTTAATTGAAACAATATTATATGTGAAAACTCGGCCACACAACATTTCCATTAACTGAAACAGAATGCTACCTAGAATTTTGTTTCCATATTCATTAGGGCCAGCAGCTAAACTAGCATGTATATATCCTGAAAACTATAGTGTACATTCTATACAATACAATACAATTCTATATAATTGTACATTATGCACAGTATACAACATCGGTACTCATGTTTTCCTCTGTCTTTTGTATTCATTGCACCTTTTTCTCATTGATATCAAAGTAAAAATGCATGTGCTGATACTTTAGTGAAAGATTTGTAGCAATAATACTCTAATTTGTATTACCAAGACATCTCCTAAGCATAAAGACTTGACTTTTTAAATGGATCCTTTACACAGAGAGTGCTTTATGCTCAATAAAATCAGGCATGACCAAGAAGCACGTTTTGAGCACCTCTCATTTGCTATATATGAAAGAGAAAGCAAATATTTTCACAATGTTGAAGTAACGGGAAGACCAGGGTCAAGGTTTTACCCAAAATGTTTTTCCAAAGGAAGTGGAAACCAGACATCAAAATGTTCTCTGCTCTCAACAATAAAGAGAGAAGAAAGAACAGAGGATGAGGTTAAAAGTAACATCTGTATGGTTCCCAAACTAAATTCTTGTTTTACATTAGGTTTCACTTAGGGTTACAAAGTAGAAGCTGGGAACAAAAGCATCTTGGCTAATGGGAAAAGTATCTAGAAACAGTTAGAATGGAATTTTCTGTCTTAGATGGAAGAATTCAAAGAGCTCAATGTGCTCAAGGAGGGTACACTAGATGACCTTCATCCCAGAGTACTGAAAGGGCTGACACATGAAATTATAAGACCTAAGAAAGGGATAAGAATAAAAATCTATCAAGTCAGACTAATACTGTCTGACTGAACAAGAGCAAACATAACACCTGTATTTGAAACAGCCAAAAAATGCCCTGGTCTAGTACAGACCAGTGGTAGCCTGACCTCAGTAGGTTTGTGGTGCACTTTAAGGGAAGCAAATAACACATCTCAAGGTGTATAAATGTTATATATTGGAGGGTTTTGGGGTTGGTGGTTTTTTTTTTTTTTCCTCTGGAGCATTCCCTTGGGTTGCGTACATGTACAAACAATGAAAGTTCTTTGCTTGAAGTAAGCAGGCAGCTGAGATCCAGGTAAAGGCTTCTGGACTGAACATCCTCCTTAGATCCTTCTGGATATATTCCTTCCCCATTCCCTATTCCTGCCTTTCCCATGCTCTGAGCCCTCCTTGCCATACTCAGGACCTTATCTTCTACTCAGGACCTTATCCTCTCCTCTCCATTCTGTCTCCCTTTTGCTTAGAAAAGCAGCAGATACCATATGTTCACATATATTCACTGACATGTTAGTTGATGGGATTGGGTGACCTGGGCACCTATCTTTTGAGGACAATAATTTTAAAGGTTGATGGTTGTCTGATATATGTGTTATACCTACAAAAAATGAAAAAAGATTATATGTATGAAGTTTAAAAACTTTTGAAAATGGAACATTGGATTTACTTTATCAAAAATAGTTATGCCTCCTTTTTTTATTAAGAATTTTTTTCTGTACAAAATAGTCATGTTAGATGAAAGGTTTTACAAAGCTTTTGATGTGGCAGAGCATAAGAAACTGTTAGTTTATTAGAATAAATTGAAGAACAGTCCAAGAACTGAAAGATGGATAAAGAACTGGATAAAGTAAAAATGAAACTGTGTTACTCAAAAAGCTTTTGGACTGGCTGCAAATTATAGACAGAATCCCTTCAGAATTAGCTTTTGAAATTATTGTATTTATTTTCCTTTAATTATTGAAAAGTCTTAAATGTCAGTTATGTCCTTCAGAGGACATTATCTTATTCCTGAAGTTTCTGCTAAACTATCGCCCAGATCTATTCTATCTAATCTCTCTGGCACCTCTTCTAATATTATCTCTTAAGTGGTGCCTAGCAAACAACCTAAACTCGCCTCCTAATTTTCCTCCTCATAGCATCAATATTCCCAGCTCCAAGATGAGTGTGATAGGGATTTTTGCTTTTATGTTGAGAGGTGGGCTCCTGGATGGTCTGGAAACTTTAATTCCAAAAGGCCTGAGCTCAGCTGTACTTACAGCATTTTTGGCGGGGATGATGGATTTTAGATGGCTGCACAAAGGTGATGATCAGCATCAGTGTCTGAGTGAAATGCATGCATCTCAGAGGGCAAAGGAGTTTTGCACATGTACAAAACAAGTATCATTCGGGGTTAAGGGTTTCTATGATCTCTAGCTGGCCACAGAATTCAGATGTGAAGTTGGTGTTTGGAAACTGACAGGCATGTGAGAAAGCAGAATTTAGTGGGAGAGCAGAAGTTAGCAGCCTAAAATCTCTTGTACTGCTGACATAAGGAGTTGATGCCAATGTGTGATGACCACTGCATTAAAGCACTGTTCGGCTTTGCAGTTAGCTTGTATTCCACCTTCAGTTTGTTAGGCTGTGCATGACCCATCCCTCGTACTCAGCAATCTCCCTGTCCTGTGAGGTGGAGGCTCAGAGATGAGTGCTGACAGCTGTGCCAGGCAAAGATTTGCTCCCAGTAGGAGAATCCCGTCTTTCTCTTTTCAATGGCTGAAGGCTCCTTTACACAGACAAATTCAGAGTGCTCCAAGTAAGGGGAAGGGTTTGCCTGAGCATTTTTACAGATAGTTGTTTTAATTATGCATTTACATAATTAATAATTCCATGTGATACCTTATCTAAAGCTGACTGCAAGATTTACCCAGGGGCTGGCAAGAGCATGAAAAAGGGCAGGAGGGAGTATAGAGGAAGTTTTGCTTAGCACAGGGGGCTGTACAGAAAGGACTGGCTGCATGACTCCAGCATGCCATTGTCAGATAAACTCAAAAAAATGGCCAGAAGTTTATGTCTACCACTGTTTCCAAGTCTCTAAAGAGACCTCCTGGCTATCCCCAAATACCTCACCATTTAAAATCAGCAGTTTCCTTCCTCCATCCCCTTCCCTAATATGTATAAAATACTCTCAACAGTAGAAATCATAGACACATTTTTCAGTGATAGCAGCAAAAAATCCTTTCACCTGTTTCCTATAAAGAAAATACCAGAACTTCTAACATACAACTGGGAGCTTATAAAAGGAGGCTATTAGCACAGTGACAAATTTGGGATATTTCAGAGAAGTACATTGGTAAGTCTGTTGCTTGATTTGTGGCACAGGTACAGTTGCAGTTCAAGTTTCCCTGGAGCTGGAAGAGAGGTCTGAACAAAATGGTGCAATAAATTTTACAGGGGATGCTAATATGCAGAAGGGGTTGGTTTAAAAACAACAAGCCATCACTTGTAATCAATGCTTGACACGTGTCCAGTTTTCTGAAATTAAAGTGAAAGGTGAGGTCGGTTATGCCTAACACAATCCAGGCATATTTATTTGCATTCGCGCATTTGAAAATCCGAGTTTACATTTTTAAAGCTAAATAAAGTTGCCTTGTGACACTTATATTGTATCTATTACATATTTCACTTCAAAACCTCATCTCTCCTAAAGCCTCTTCAGTGTGCTTGAAGTAGCACAGCAAAAGAAAAGGAATTTTCAGTTTAACTAGAGCACGACATTCTGTTACACAATTCGATCTTGTCTATTTATCAGCTCTTAAAAACCAGAAGACACTAAACAACAACAACAACAACAAAAGGGGGGGGGGCCCCCCAAGCAAGCTGAATGCATCCAGCCAGCAGTGCCATAGGTGTCTGAATGCATCTGTGGCTTCCCTCTCACTCATCAGTGTAATTGTTGTCATGTTATTCCATTTTTTGATTAGGCTGGTCCGCCAAGCTCCCAGCTTTTCCTGGCCAAACGTTCTTCTGCTGGTTGTCATGGTGACTGCATTGTTCCCGGGGAGAAAGGCTCTGTTGTCTGGCATTGTTCTGTTGTGCTTTAGGTAATGCACGAGGCATCACAAGTGAAGTGGATGGACCTTTTTTGCTCGGCATCATTGCCGAGTATTGAAAATCTCACATAAAAAAGGAGCAAATAGGCCCTGACCAAAGAAATAACCAAGTTCTTTTTTTTTTCTCCCCTTTTTTTTTTTTTTTTTTAAAGAAAGCACGCATTATTATAAAGAGGTAAACCAGCGCTGGCGATTAACTGAATAATCTAAGGAAATGCTATAGAAATTATATTTATTACAAGAACAATTGCCATGATTTGAATGTTACTATACAATGCTAACCATTTGGCAATTTAGCTTGAATATAGTTTTTAAATATTCACTGATTTCTCTCCAGCTTGCAATGCCATTTAACCCCAGATTCTATTTAGCTTTAAACACTACACTTTAGGAGGTGAATGTAATCATTTGGTTTTTAAAATTTAATCTATTACTGTCTACTTTTTTAGGCAAGCTACCACAGGTAGTTTAGTACTTTTTATATCACTCTCAGAGTATGCAATCACTGATATTTCTTTTTTTTGTTTGTTTTTTTCTCCAAGAAATGAGGTTTTACTCCAATATTAATTAGGATTTCTGGAAAAATATTAAAATATCAGGCACTATTCACAGGTTTGACTTTGACATTCAGACAATTTCTTTAAGAAACAGCTCAGATAAATATAAGAAGAAGCCCTGAGAAAGTTCTTCGAAGAGCTTTAGCTTATTTAAATGGATTGCCAGATGAGATATTGGCTTTAAATTGTGATTAATTAATAATTTTTCAACAGCAATTTACACATTAAATATTGAAGGTAAGCCTAATGTAAATCCCAACTGCCTTAAAACAGTCAATAGTATATGGTTTGAGAGCCTGATTTTCACCTTGTGTTCAAGTTCATCTGCTGATCCCATTAAAGGAAACCAGCAGGATACCAGCACTTCAATCCTGTCATTCTAGGGCAAAAAAACACCTTTCAGCAGAACCTGTCACTGGATGTCACCAAAGTTCCATGGATTTGCCAGCAATACAGCACTAATTTATCAATAAAACTCAAGAGTCTTAAAGAAAGCAAGCAAAAAAGAGTACTGCAGGTAACCCAGCTTACCTGTAAAGCTGGTAGGGCCAGAACCTCCACTCAAACAGCCAGGGACACACTCACTGTTGTTGCTGAAGCCACTGAGGTTTACATGCAATGGCTTTCAGCTGCCCAATATCCCACACATGTAGAGTAAGGAGAGATTTCAACTGCTGGCACAGGCAGTTAAAAAAACTACACAGAGTGGCTTAAATTGAGTTGTAATACCTGCTGACACAAAATTTCCCCTTCACATCTGTAAAATGAGAGCCAACTTTTCCTTATCCCCCCTAAAAAAAAAGTGGGATTTTTCTTTTTTTTTTTTTTTTGGCCAGACTGTTTGTGTGCTTCCTGTACTGGGGACTGCTGGTGGCACACACTTGGCACCCTAGAGATTTTGCCTCTTAGGTACTCAGCTCATCCATGTAACATATTGGGAATCTAAAAAGAAATAGTAGGAGATGCTGATTTCCTTTCAAGGGAACCAGTACAAATATGTAGTCCAAGCAGTAGCTCTTGACTAGTACTAAAATAATTCAGGTGAAGATGGAAAAAAATAAAAATTTGCCATGAATATGAAACTTTAAAATAACTATTATGTGTAACAGAAAAATAGTTTGTCCTTTGGAGAAAAAAAAAGATTGTTCTATCATGTAGTTCATATACTTTTAAATCTGAAGAGTGGGGACTTCAAAATAACAAAATTATTTGGACATCTGTGCTACAATGACTTGTTATGGGCAGTACCTCCCCAAATACCTTCTAATTTCTCAGAAATTTTTGATTTCTCAGAAGTTACTTTTAAAAGCTAGAGAAATCAATAGCCTTCATACAATTTGCCAAGGAACACTGAGGTACAGTGGCTGTCTTCCTTTGAGTTCACCTTGAACATCAGCTGGCCCCTCATTTCACAAGGGCTAGCAAGAGCAGGGGCTGGCTGCAGCAGCAATCCTGCCTTTCCACACTCCTCTCCTGTGAGGTGCTCTGGACAATGTGCCCGGCACCTCTGGCAAAGAATGTGCACACAAACACCTCTGAGACTGGGTAGGAAATCAGGATTTATCACGCTTGCATACATGCACAAAGATTATTTACTCACATGCAGAGGCAGGTTTGCACACAGCTTCGCATCATATAATGCCAGCCTCATCTACAGCAGAGGTATAATTCCTGCTAAATTCCTAATTCTCTTTTAATTCTATGAAATTACTATATAGCCCTGTTCATTTTACCCTTATTAAATTCAGGAGAGCTTTGCCATAAGGGATAGCTTCAGAAACATTAAAATAGGACAATTGCTGTTTTTTGGAGAGCTCTATTGCAAGTGTATTGCCTTCTCAGCTGGAAAGGATGATTACTGATGTCTGAAAAAGGTACTTACAGCTTAGTACACAGTAAACATGTATTTTGTTTTTCTTTTGCTCTGTTAAACAATATAATACATAGCAAAAATCTACAGAAATAGCAATCAAAACAGACACACTTTAAGAAGAATCCCAATGCTTCTTAATTTGTACTTCATTCCTCCCGTCAGCATTTCCACCCGCATTCATCACTGAATATTCATTCCTGCTTCTGCCTTTGGGTTGAGTGTGGCAGCAGCCTGGGAGAGTCACACAGGTATTCGGGTGAAGGGGGTGACAAGACTTTCCGCCCCCATTCCTGCTGCCAGGAAGGAGGATCCCGAGCCCCTCTCTGGTTTGGGAGAGTTGATTTCCCCACCAGCCCCCTTTCCAGTGCCTGATGCGCTGAGAGCTCCCCCTCCTGTTACAGTCAACCTTAACTGCAGCCGACAGATTAATATTATTACCTCATTTTAATTTATTCCTCTCCTCAATTCAAAAAAGCACATCTGGTGCTTTTCAGAGTCAGAGAAAGCTTCTTTCCTCCCATCCTCTCCTGAACATCAATTAATAACTTGGTAACAAAAAGAAAATAAGAGTTTGTTTTGCATACCTAACAGTCATAAGTGACAGAGAGAGAGAAAAGGGACTTGCTCCAGGTGGGGATGAAGGAAAATGACAGAACTGCTAAATCTGCTGTGTTTCAGCAGGACTTGCTAGGTCAAGCCACAGTGACACAGCTACTGCAGCTCTGCAGTTGCCAGACCAGGATTGTCTCACACCTCTTTGACTTGAAGTGCACAAAAAGCGATGTGTAACTCTTTACACCTTCCAGGTAGGTGGTGAGCAGTTGGCTCCCATGCAATTGCTGAAGCCTGAAAGGTGATTTCAGACCTCACTGCCCATATTTCAACTCTCAAACACACTAGTCAACATCAGAATTTCTAAAATCTCTCCTAATACAGGCAGAAAACACACAGCATCCTGAGCCCATAGTCCTACATGGCTCGTGCTCCCTGCAAACATAACACAGTGACCAGTGGGGCTGAAAACAATGAGGATGAAGACCCTTTGCCAGTTCTCCAGAGCAGGAGGAGCTCTCTTTGAGTAGAGAGCTGAAAATAAAGTTCAAATGGGTCTTTGGGGGGGGGGAAGGTGGTTTGTCATACAAAAGGACAAGTTTGTTACAACCATTTGTAAAATGTTAAGAGATGCAGGACAAAACTCTGGCTCTCTGGGTATGAACTCTCTGGCCCACGGTCTCCCATAGGGCCAGATCTGCAGGCCAAGGGGACAGCAAGTCCATATGAATGGGCGCAGCTGAGCCCAGGATGTGTTCAGCTGGCAGGACAGGTTCTCTGGTTTGGGCCATGCACTGAGTGGGAAGTCACTGGTGCTTTGCAGGCCTGCTCACCTCACCCACCCCTCCAGGCACACATTCAAACGAAGTTCAACATTCACCTTTGAATTCTGTGTGTGAGTGGTTCCTGCTTTCCAGCCTGACCTAAGGAAAGTTCCTGATACCAGAAAAACACACATGAGATTTTTCAGGATGATAAACATCCGTGATGAGTAAGGAGGAACGTCACTGAAGGCCACTGGGTCAAAACCAGATATGAGATAAAAATTAAAGAGATAATGTATTAATTTAAAAAAAGGAAACTGGTGCTGTATTGTTCTGTTGCTGTCTGCAAGTAACTCCAGGACCTCAGTTCGTCAGTTCTCGAATGAGAACTGAAGTCTTTGAAGTTACTGTCCAAACTGTCTTTTTTCTTTTAAACTTGACATTATTGCAAACTCAATAGCTCAGATTCCTGACTTGCTTGGGAGCTTGGCTTTCCCTTAGAATTTCTGTCTGACAGTGCCTTTGTCCAACTTTGTAGCAGCTACTTTCTTCCTTCTGTCTCCATTTTATTTCTTCTGCTTTCCCCCTGCTCCCTCTGTAAAGAAATTTAGAGTGTGGATCACTCTCACGTGATTTCAGGTACAATTCCAAACCAAAGCTCTTGGGATCCCTTTCTTTTTAATGCTCAAATACCTTGTGGCTGTTCTTGATTGTGCTATGCATATGAAGAGCTATCTATTTTGGCTATCAAAACAGACATAAGACTGAGATGAAAAATGTATTTATGCACATTTTTTATCAAACACAAACATATATTTTACATCAGATGGGAAAATGTCTTCTCAAAAGCCTGAACTTTACTAGACATGAGGTGAATTTCATGACAACTAAACCAGATCTAAAAAAAAAACCGAGGGAAAAAATAGCTACCTGGCTGCTGATAAACACAGATTTTTTTGTGTTAAAAATTAATTAATTAAAAATTAAAAATTAATCCAACTCTCCCAAAACAAGAGATTCAGCAAATTAGAAATATGCTCACTCTTAAAATTCGCTTTAAAATTGTTATTTTATTTTTATTATAGAAGTGTCACACAGAACAATATAGGGAAGGGAGCTGTGTTAGCTAATCTGCTGTAATCCTTTCAACTCTTTGAAAGAATAACAAGCGGTTGATAAGCAGGGTCAGGCTAGGTCAGGATTTTGATAGGAGACATCTAAGGAATGCCTAGGTGCTTCAGGAAGGGGATGTGGGTGATTTAGCAAGCTAGTTAAATCAGCAAGCTCACTCTCACCTCTGCTTGGGTAAGGGTAAGGAGCAAATGGAGCAGACCATGTGCTGCAGAAGGGGTAACCTTTTTGGGGAGGTAGGTGTAATAACAGAAATACACATTGAGGCATTATTTTACCCCTTTATCAGGCAGTGGCTTTAACTAACACCAGCTCAGGTAAGTACATTTTGCTTTGCTGATTGATGGATAAACCATTTCCTGCATCCAGTCCTAAAATCTATAGGGTGTTGTCAGCTGGTGTTAAGCCACACCATAAACTATGTTGTCAGCCCATTGTCTCAAGTCACATCTCTCCTAAACACTTTGGACAGATTTAAAATACATTTCCGCAAAGTACTTATAAATCGCAGGAATACCAGCTGCACCCACTACAGCTATCACCAGCAGCAATTCCAGTGTTGGTTTTAACAGCAGCTTATATATACAATCACCAAAAAAATGGATGATATGCAATATCGGTAAATATTTTTAATTAATCCACCATGAAGTTCTCATCTGAACCAGAAAAATAAACGAGATAAAATGATTTGAGGAGTACGTACCTTGCACTTTTGAAATATTATACAGGCTGTGCTGGCAAAAACAACTGCCCTCCAAGAAAATACGTCATTGAAAAGTCAGTATCTGTGGGTTACTGAAAGAAATGTAGCAGCTCCAATGAAAAGAGTAAACCCCTCTCTCTCAGACCTCATTTCATGCTTTTTTGTTTCTACTGAGCATGTTTTAAGAACTAATCAGCCTTATAAAAGGTACCACTGTTAATCTACTGTTTGTCTTCGTCTTCACTGCAGCTGCTTAGTAGATAGAGAGCAAACAAAACCAGAATTAAGGTCATTCCATTTAAATCCTTCAGAGTGGAAGACAAGGACTAAATTATTGCTGAGAATTACATGGAGGGAAAGCCCAGGATAAGATAACTATTGTTTGTTATTTGCCAGACCCATAGTGGCACTGCATTTACATATTTGTGAAGGGATTAAATTAACATTTTCTGAGATTAATTGGTATCATGGGGACATTCTCTGATACACTGTCCACACAACTTAAATGTAATGTGCAGTACATATGCAGTACATACGGCTAGTCAGAAACAACCCAAACCTACCAGCTACTGATCAGTTGTCATGCATGAAATGTAATAACATATTTTTAACATAAATAAAATATATAGGGCATTATTACATTTCATCATACAGTACAGGTTTGAATCTCACAGGACCATGGTACAGACCTTAACAGGTGATTTTGCTTTTCTATTATAAAATACCTTAACCCTGTACTTTCACATCTTTAAGGCAGAAGGAGCAATAGCACAAAAGATCTCTTTTATGGTAATAGCAGGAAATAATTTCAGAGTAGTCAAACATGAGTAGAAAATGGGTGGTCAAATGAGTAGAAAATCTTTTGGCCATCAAAAATCCGCAAGCTTTTCCTTCAAATTAGAAAATATTCCCTGGGAGCTACTCTATAAATAATACATGGTGGGTTTTAGTGTAATCTTAGTATGAGAACATGCTTTCCTTAGAGCCAACAGTAATACCACTTCAAGAAGGAAATGCTGTGTGAAGAGAGGATCTTGCAGCTCTCTCCCACTTTAAAATCAAGTACATTAGCTCCACAGGATCTCCAGCCCCCAGGAGCCTGATGGCTACAAGGTATGAGTCAGCTCCACCACTCTGACCTCTCAAGTGGCAGAGAGGTATGTCCTGGTTTAGTACCCTGTGCTGGCTCAGGTTTCCTGCACTCAGCCTCTGTGAGGCTCACTCGACACTGAAGCTGGTCAGAAATTAAATATTGGCACTAGGTATCCACAAAAAAAGAACCCAAAAGGAATGGGGGGCATTTCAGGTGGCTGAAGAAGGACCCCCACTTAGGTTTGAGATGCTCCCAGTGCTGTTATCCAAGCTGGGAGAAGCCATCTGCTCTAGTGAGAGGGGTAACTACTCACACCACCACAAAGCCTGCATCATTCTACAATGATTTTGGTAGGAGATAAGTCTCAAGCACCATATCACTGCGGATTTACAAATAGCCTGGAAATAATCCTCCCTTCTCCCATCCCTTCTTCCCTCCTTTCCCCTCACTATGTACATGAGATTTTTTTTCTGCTTATCCTATTTTGTTTTGTCTCCCAAACCTTGTTCACCCAGCCTGATTTCACTCACCCAAGCTGAGTTGGGAGCGCAGGGCATTTAGCCACAACCATGTATTGCCTGCTGTGGCTGGGAGTTATGACAGCAGGGTGGTGGAAGGGGGACCCAGAGCAGAGATGTGGTTCCCTGAGGGAACCAGGTTATAACCAGGACATTAGGACTCCCTGTGTTTGCAGGCCACTTGAGTGATTCCCTCAGCCTGCTCGGAGCCAGCTAATTTTGTGAGGAGGTCTTGCGCTGACCCCTCAGATAGCTTAGGAGCATACCAAGCCAACTGGATCATGCTCTTTTGGTCACATCCCTTCTTCTAACAATTCATCTGCATATGTTTAATTTTATACAGCTCTTCCGGGCTGCAATATCAGTAAGTGGATGAATTGCAACAGGAGATGAAAAATAGGTGGGTCATAAATCTTTCAAGTGTCAATAAATTACTGGCACCAGTGGAATTTCTAGAAATAACCACAAACAGAAGATTCAGGGTAGAACAAGAATAATTTTTTTTCTCCCTTTTTTAAGGAGTACAAAATGGAAAATATTGTTTTATTATTGCTTATATTCTACTCTTCTGTCTGCACTGGAAAACCTAACCTATGTTTGCATTCCCTATACAAAACACTGTTTGTCCATTTAAGATATACACAGCTTAGTGTTGTACTTCTAAGGACTTTAGCTTAGGCAATAATGGCTATATACAATCAACTATTTAGAATAATAATGTTAAAGATAACAGTCAATACTAGAGCCACTGAAGAAACACATAAAAATTCTAAAACTGTCATAGATGGTATCTGCAAATAATGTCACTGGCATTCTTAGATCTCTGAAATGTATTTTGAAACACACAAAAATGACACCAACATAATTCACTAGAGAAATGTTACAAGGATGGTAGGTCTGTACAAAAAAACCCCAACAAAACAAAACCAAGCTAGAAATACATAATAGCAGGAAAATATTTTCTTTATGTGCATATACAAATGTAAAAAATAATTCTGAGCCACATGCTGTGTGAATGTATCTTAATGCAAAAAATTCCCAAATCTCCACTATTTTTTCAGAATATTGGAAAACTAACTTGAGCTCAGGATTTAACAATGTCTGTGTCTGAAAACACATGAGCGCATGTTTTTTCCCCCTTATTCCCTGTTCTTTCTGAGAGATGCTGCTACTGTCTTGTTCATTGTTGTAATCATCTGCAATCATGACATTTGTGTGCCGTTTCAAGTACCAAAATACT